CATCAATAGTGCTCAGAATTTAAGCTAATATCGAACAAAGAAAAGATAAAAGAAATGCTGATCTTTTAGCTTTTTCTTTTTCTTCTTCTCTTCGATTGACATTTTCTCTTCCTACTACAACTAGTACTCTCTTAATCTCTCTCTCTTCGAATGTTCTTTCTTTTCGTTGTTATTTGTACCTTTTGCCGTTTTCGAACCTTGGATTTTTTTACCTTCTTTCAATCTCTTCGTTTAGTTTGCAAATGAGCAATGATGATGATGATAAAAATGATGATTGACATAAGAGAAGGAGAGAAAGAGAGTGAGGTTGTGAGAGAGAGAGAGAGAGAGAGAGAGTGAGAGAGAGAGATTTAGTGAGTAGAAATTATTGCCTTGAAAAATTTTCTTTTGTAATAAAAGGACATTAGAACTTTTCTTTTTGGTAAATCGACAAAAAATTCGTGTCTTGTGTTCTGTTTCTCTGTTGTTGTACATTGATTGTCGTTCGTGTTTTGATTAACATTTATTATTTAGCAGTCACAACAATTAACTATTATAATCATCGCGATTAACGGTGGGGGTTGTAATACATTATGTTACCTCTGTAGCAGAATGTAATACTCACCGATTTAGAGAGAGAGAGAGAGAGAGAGAGAGAGAGAGAGAGAGAGAGAGTATTTAGTTCAAATTTTTTTTCGAATCACAATGCAGTGAACAAAATAGGCTCTCTCTTGTTCTCGCTCCCTTCTTATCGTCAGTTGTTAGAGATGAAAAAAAAGTTGTCTAACATCATCTAATGTTAATCATACATCACAAGATTAACGACAATTAGTGATCCCTAATTGTCTGGTGAGTGGAAAGAAAATCAGTCGAAAAATCGAAAAGTTGTAAAAAGAATTTCTAAAAGTTGAACATATTCGATATCATGAATTCTGAATGATTAAGATAAAAGAAATCGATGAAAGATTATCTACCGAATGGAAATGAATCCAAAAAGAGTAGATGGAAATATTCTGAGAAAAAGAAATAGAAAACGATGATGATGATACTTTCTCTCTCTCACTTTCTTTTCTTCCTAATAGAAGCAAAAAGGAAGAGAAAAAAAGGAAGATGTTCTTTTTCTCTTTCATCATTCTCATCATTTTTTCCTTCTTCTCAATGAATTGAAGTTTCTATTTGCTTTAGAAAATAATAGAAAAGATTGACTATTTTTCACCTTCTCTTTTTTTCCACTGTAAACATAAAAGGGATGGAAAAGAAGAAGAAGATGATGAAAAGAAGACACTTACTACCTTCTAACATATTGGGTGGTCTCTCATCTTCTCCATCCTCATCTCTCTCTTTCTCTCTCTCTCTCCTCATCTTCCAAAAAGGTAACCTGTCGATATACCAAAGTAGTTACTCTATTACACGGTTCTAACATTGAGACCATAACTTTTACCTTAGAAAATGTTTTACCTTTTTTTTCATTGTTATCTTTTTATTACTGTTGTGATACAGAAACAAACAAAAAAGTGTATTTATTTTTAATGGTAAACCATTTACCTGCATCAATAGATATTGACATGATATGGAATCAGGATGATCAAGTGGGAGGAGGTGGAGGAAGAGGTAGGAGTGGGCAGTGACTCGGTGTGTGGTTGGTCAACAAGAGACAATGTTGATAGTAAACTTTTTTTTTCAGTTTCTCTATTTTTTTACCAACCATAATATCAACTGATTATTGATAAAAAGATGATGATTATCATCATTTGATGATGATGATGAGGGTGGAGGTGAGTAGTAATAAACTGCATGTTCCAGCTCATTTTAAGGTTCACTGAAGCTGAAAATTGTTCTGGAACATGCAGTAGGTGCAACTTTTTGTAGGTGTAACATGTAACTATTTACGAATACGTGCTTTTTTTGAGATAAGTAAAATGCAAATACGTGCTAGAAGTTTGATGAACGTTCTAGCGATTTGTTCCAATGATAAAATGTTTCAAAAAAAGTATAAAAGAAAATCAACTGAAACAACAAATATCAGTTGAATAATTTCATTCATTCCATCAAGTTTCCAACAATATTTTGATTATTGGTTAATTTCATCAAGTTTTCAACAAGCTTTATATTGATTATTCAGTTAATTTCACCAAGTTTCCAACAAGCTTTGAACTGATTATTCAGTTAATTTCACCAAGTTTCCAACAAGCTTTAATTGATTATTCAGTTAATTTCACCAAGTTTCCAACAAGCTTTAATTGATCATTCAATTAATTTCACCAAGTTTCAACAAGCTTTAATTGATTATTCAGTTAATTTCACCAAGTTTCCAAAACTTTAATTGATTATTCAGTTAATTTCATCAAGTTTCCAATAAGCTTTAGATTGATCATTCAATTAATTTCACCAAGTTTCCAACAAGCTTAGAACTGATTATTCAGTTAATTTCATCAAGTTTCCAATAGCTTTGAATTGATCATTCAATTAATTTCACCAAGTTTCCAACAAGCTTAGAACTGATTATTCAGTTAATTTCATCAAGTTTCAATAAGCTGAATTGATCATTCAATTAATTTCACAAGTTTCCAACAAGCTTAGAACTGATTATTCAGTTAATTTCATCAAGTTTCAATAAGCTTTGAATTGATCATTCAATTAATTTCACCAAGGTTCCAACAAGCTTTGAACTGATTATTCAGTTAATTTCATCAAGTTTTCAATAAGCTTTGAATTGATCATTCAATTAATTTCACCAAGGTTCCAACAAGCTTTGAACTGATTATTCAGTTAATTTCATCAAGTTTCCAACAAGCTTACTTCGAATCGATTGGATAATTTCATCAAGTTTCTAGTAAGTTTTCACTCGAATATTTCATTAAATTCATCGAACTTCCAACAAGTTTATATTTAAATCTTTTCGTTAATTTCATCAAGTTTCCAACAAGTTTTTCCTTGAATATTATTTCAATTTTACCAAGTTCCCAACAAACTTTTGTTTGAATCGTTTGAGTTATTTTTCTTTAGTTTTCTACAATTGTCATAAAAACGTAATGTCTCGTTCAAATTTTGTTTCTATATCTCTTCACAGAATAACTATGAATACAACAGTAAAAAAAATGAAAACCAAGAAGACTGAAGATCTTCCAGCGATAAATATAGCTGAAGCTATTAAAAAAGTTAGCAAAAAGAAAGCAGAGGCTATCAAGGAGCCTGAAGTCCAGGAACTCGCATTGAGTGAATCAGAAGATGAAGTTGAATCGGTAACTTCTGGAATTTCAAAGGGAAACTTATAAAGCAAAACTGTTGAACAAGATCAAGATAAAAAGGAAAATTGATTGGGAACCGATAAAACTAGACCTGACTAACGTTCCTGGTAATCGAACGATTACAACTTCGGATACAAGTTTCAAGATAATAAATTTATTGTATCAGATAACTTGGTTTTTCACGGATCGATCAAACTGGTGGAAAAGTTTGTAAAATAAGGAAATTTGGTTTAAAACGGTCAAGTGGAGGCATCGAGTTCTGGGGAGAATTTTACCGTGACGATATACCTAAATTTATAGCTCATCTCCAGAAAGTTTACACGAAATGGACAACTCAATGAAAGAAAACGAATATGAAAACCCAAAACTTGAAACTGAAATACTGCTTTGAAATAATATTTTACTCAAATTCAATCAATAAATAATTTTGCAAATAATTCAAGGATATTTTCACCATATGTAAATTTATACTTTAGATCGTTTTATTGTTATAACTAATGATTTCAATGAATCTCAAATATTCTGAATGCTCGACTGAATGATTTATATTAGACAAAAGTTCTGAATAGTTTTCTTGATATGATTAACATCAAAATGTTTTAACGAATTTCAAATATTCTGAATGATCAACTGAATGATTTATATTAGACAAAAGTTCTGAATAGTTTTCTTGATATGATTAATATGTAAAATGTTTTAATGACACTCAAATAATTGAATGATCAACTGAATGATTTATTAGACAAAAGTTCTGAATAGTTTTCTTGATATGATTAACATGTAAAATGTTTTAATGACACTCAAATAATCTGAATGATCAACTGAATGATTTATATTAGACAAAAGTTCTGAATAGTTTTCTTGATATGAACATGTAAAATGTTTTAATGACACTCAAATATTCTGAATGATCTACTCAATGATTTATATTAGACAAAAGTTCTGAATAGTTTTCTTGATATGATTAACATGTAAAATGTTTTAACGAATTTCAAATATTCTGAATGATCGACTGAATGATTTATATTAGACAAAAGTTCTGAATAGTTTTCTTGATATGATTAACATGTAAAATGTTTTAATGACACTCAAATAATCTGAATGATCAACTGAATGATTTATATTAGACAAAAGTTCTGAACAGTTTTCTTGATATGATTAACATGTAAAATGTTTTAATGACACTCAAATATTCTGAATGATCTACTCAATGATTTATATTAGACAAAAGTTCTGAATAGTTTTCTTGATATGATTAACATGTAAAATGTTTTAATGACACTCAAATATTCTGAATGATCTACTCAATGATTTATATTAGACAAAAGTTCTGAATAGTTTTCTTGATATGATTAACATGTAAAATGTTTTAACGAATTTCAAATATTCTGAATGATCGACTGAATGATTTATATTAGACAAAAGTTCTGAATAGTTTTCTTGATATGATTAACATGTAAAATGTTTTAATGACACTCAAATATTCTGAATGATCTGCTCAATGATTTATATTAGACAAAAGTTCTGAATAGTTTTCTTGATATGATTAACATGTAAAATGTTTCTATGAATCTCAAATATTCTGAATGATCAACTGAATAATTTATATTGAAGAAACGTTTTTGTATAGTCTTTAGTTTATCATGTATCGTTAAATGAACAAAAGATCAAACCTAATATAATGACTTAAATGAAATTAACAGAATATATTTTCAACATGCTGATTCTTTATTTTTTTTCTCAAATGTATTTTTATCTTTATTACAGATAGAGTTATTCATTACCAGTTGAACCAAAACCTGAAGCGTTTCTTGAAGTTTCACAAGGAGCTTCAGTGGTTTGTTTCAGTTGGTTTACATATGATTTAAAATGAATTTGAGCTACTGGTAAGCCTTCTACAATTTTATGTACCTTATTGTTTCGGTTATGAAGAATAATATTTATTTCTTTCGAAGCATTTTTTTTTATAATTGATTCGATCACGTCAACACCGAAATCAGCAAGCAATCGAGAACCAATGAGATGAGCATAAACATTTTCGGGTAGAGATAATCCAATGTTAGTTGGATAAACAGCTCTTTCACCAGGTTGTAAAGTAACATCTCTATCAGAATATAAATAAAACTTTGATATTCCATCAGACGGTTTTGCCATATGAACACTAATTTGCTCGATGGTTTTCATAACTTTCACCGATTTATTGAATTCAGAGTTAATCGGTTCAGATCCAGTAGATGAATTAGGAGCAACTGAGACTTTACAATTTTTTTCAGGTTCTTTTCCATGTTTAAAGATGAGAACTTCTTTTGGCTCGTGAAACGGTTCGAAAATTATTTGAGAAAACCTTTCTCCTTCTTTTATAACTTGAGAATTATTACTATTATTTATAATCAAAACCTTAACTTCTCCATGAAAGTCTGGATCGATCACTCCAGCACCAACATCCAAACCTTTCAACGCAAACGAACTTCTAGATGCTATTCTTCCGTAAATTCCATCAGGCATTTCGAGCGCAATTCCTGTTCCAATTATTGCTCTTGACCAAGGGTTGAGATTTTTAGATTCAATTGCATACAGATCCCATCCAGCAGCATTCACTGTAGAACGTCGAGGGATTTTAGCGATAGAGTTTAACTTATAAAAAGAAACAGATGAGTTGATTATATTCATTTTTCAAAACTTTTCACTGGTTAAAAAAGAACAGTAAGATGTTGTTGGTGAACTGAATGAAGTTTAAAGATTTTATTTAGTTTATATACACTTATCAAATCCCACCCATTTTTCTTCATGAACTCAATAATTGTAATAGATAAATTTAAAATTCATAAATGATTTAAAAGACGTGATTTGAAGATTAAAAGATAACGAGCTTATCAACTAAAACCAATCAAGTTAAATTATTCAACCATATCAGATTCAAATTATATTTTCTTATAACCATATCAGATAAAAATAGTACAAACAAATTATATACTATGAAATGTTTAAATTCAATGTTTGTAGTTAACTAAACCGTGAGTAAAATCAGATTAGATTATTCAGTTGAGATAATTATAAAATTGCTTGATCAAACATTAGATAATTAATTGAAGTTGTTAAATTAACCTTAACAGAAATAATATAAAAAACGCTTTTAGTATTAAGAATATAATCAAGATAAGCTCTTTAATATACAAAACGTTCACATGTTCAAACAAGCATATATAATTTATCAAACATGATCTTTAAAGTTCTAATTTGATCTCTCAATCATGGAAGGAGATTTGTTTGAAATCTAAAAATCTAAGTTTTTATATTTTGATACCTGTTAATATCATATTCATGAATATAATTGTGTTTAATTAAAATTTAGAGTTCACACCCATTTGAAAAGTTAAAAGTATATAAAAAAGAGTTGGAATTGAAATAATCATCAGTATTGCAATACTTTTGATACATCAAATGTCTAAAACTTTTTCACGTTGTGCACATTGTAGTAAAAAATTCAAAAAAGAAACAAATCTTATTTTTCATCAACAGTTATGTAAAAGTACTCAAGTTTCTGTTTCACGAAACCTAAAATTGAATTTACCTGGTGATTTTACTTTGCAAAAACAAGCCTTTTACAAATCTTTGAATGTATATTATAAAAGTTTTACTGAAAATTTCTTTGACATCGAAAATGCTCTTAAATCTGAAAGTGGTAATCTAAAACAATTGCTATCAACTTTTCTTGAAGTCTTAGGATTGTTAAAAGTGCAAATTGGAATCTGTTGTGAATTCTATAGATATGATGGCTTTGAAATTGTATGGATAGATCCAATGTTCAATTCAAGTTTGAAGCCACTTACCTCTATTGATCTTTATAATCAATTTCTCGATGATTGCTATTTTGAAATATCAGTAGACTTTGATTCATTCAATCAAAAAGGTAGTGGATGGATTCTGAATAAGGTAAAACTCATCGAAATTCGTATTGGCAAGTATATTCCATTACGTGGAGGGTGTAAAAAGAAATCATTACCTGGATTTATTTCATCGAAAGGAGCAATAATTCAACTTGAAGCCACAACTGACTGTTTCATGGAGTGTACTGCTGCTATTTATCCAGTTCAAAAACGCTTCTCGATTATCTAAATACATCGCACTATCACAAAATCATAACTTCAATGGTTATAAAGGTTATGTTGAACTTGATCGCATTCAATTTTTTGAAAAGAGAAATTCTATTTCAGTTAATGTTTATACTTTCTATTTTACTGGAAAAATGGAAGCTCCGATGCCACTCTACGTTTCTAAGAAACGTTTTGAAAAACATGCTAATTTATTATTATATGAAGACCATTATTGGCCAATTAAAAATTTCAACCGTTTAATTGGAAGTAAACAATCTCGTTATCACCATTTTTGTGAAAATTGTTTAACTGGATTTTTAACATCTGAAAAGTGCTTTGAACATACTAAAGACTGTTACAAATTCAAGCCATCTAAAATTATAACACCTGATCTTGGAACAAGAATGTTTTTCAAACAATATGGAAAAATGGTAAAATATCCGTTTATAATATATGCTGATTTTGAAACGCTATGCAAACCTGTTGAAAGCTGCGTAAATCGAAATACGTTTGAATATCAAGAGCATGTTCCTTCAAGTTTTGGCTATGTGATTGTAAATAATCATGGTAAAATTGTTAAATATGTTTCTCATCGTGGTCCCGATAGTGCTGTTGTTTTTTTGAGATCAATCAATGAATCATGTGAAAAAATCATAAATGCAATCAATCGGAGATTTTCACAGCTCAGGATGACGTTAAAAGATCAACAAGCTTTTGAATACGCAACGAAATGTCATATATGTGAAACAGACTTTATTTCCGGTGATACAAAAGTGAGAGATCATGACCATTTCACGGGTTTATTCAGGGGTGCTGCTCATGGTCGTTGTAATTTACAATTACAAATACCTGAAGACATCCCAATCGTTTTTCATAATTTAAAAAATTTTGATGCTCATATATTGATAAAAGCTATACAAACTAAGATGTATAAACAAATCAATATCATACCTCAAAATACTGAAAAATACATTTCATTTTCATTTGATAATATAAAGTTTATAGATAGTTATGCTTTTTTGAGCAGCTCATTAGATATTCTGTCTCAAGATTTAGATGAAGCATTCAAAAATTCATTTTTATTACAGCAATTCAGACCAGAAGATCTCAATTTTGTATCCGCTAAAGCATCTCTCCCATATGACTATCTAAATCATTTTGATCGATTTGAAGAGACTAGTTTACCTTGTTACGAATTCTTCTATAATAAAATGAAAAGAGAAAATATCGATAGAAATGTATATGATAACATGATAGCTCTTTGGAATCATTTCAAGATACAGAATATTGGTGAGTTTCAAGACATTTATCAAAAAATTGACGTTGTTTTGTTAGCAGCTGTTTTCGAAAATTTTAGAAATATCAGTTATGAACAATTCAAGCTTGATCCACCTCACTTTTATTCAGCACCAGGATTAACTTGGGCTGCAGCATTAAAGTCAACAAAAGTGAAAATTGATTTATTGAGTGATATTGACATGATAATGCTTTTTGAAAAAGGAATAAGAGGTGGTATTTCATCAGCATCGAAAAGATATGAGAAAGCTAATATTCCTGGAACTGAAGATTTTCAACCCGACGAAGAAGCTAAGTTCATAACATATCTTGACGTAAATAACCTGTATGGTTTTGCTCTACAACAACCTCTACCAATATCAAATTTCAGATTTATTGAAAATACTGAATTTGATCATATATATAATCAATGTATCAATTCAAATACCGATGAAGATGAAACTGGTTATGTATTCGAAGTTGATATAGACTATCCTCTTCATCTACATGATCTTCATAAAGATTATCCTCTAGCCCCTGAACGCATCTCAATAGACAATGAACAACTGAGTCAATTACAGCTGGATATACTGGATAAAACACAAAGACCACGAACAAAATGTGAAAAACTGATTGCAACATTTCTCAAAAGGGAAAAATATGTTGTTCATCAAAGAAATCTAAAGTTTTACGTTAAAAATGGAATGATCGTAACAAAAATCCATCGTATTGTTTCTTTCAAACAATCTTGCTGGCTGAAAGACTATATTTTACTCTGTACATATAAGAGAATGGCCAGTAAATCTAATTTCGAAAAAAACTTTTGGAAATTATTAGTTAACGCAATCTATGGGAAATCAATCGAAGATGTTCGTAAACATACTGAGATTAGATTAGAAACATCCCTTGATGGAACAATCAAACAAATGCAAAAGCCACTCGTTGAACGTTTTTTTATTCTAGATGAACAAAAAGCACTCTTCAAGATGCGAAGGAAAAGAGTGTATCTTAATAAACCAATATTTGTGGGTTTTACTGTTCTAGAAATATCGAAATTACACATGTACCAGCTGCATTACGATGTGTTTAAAACCTATTATGACAAAAGGATCGAGTTACTTTACACGGATACTGATAGCTTCATTTATTCAATCAAAACTGAAAATATACACAACGATTTTCATCATTTATCATGCATCTTTGATTTTTCTGATTATCCAGTTGATCATTCAAGTAAATTACAAAATGATATACACAAAAAAAAGTTGGGTTATCTTAAAGATGAGATGAATGGAAAAAATATACTGGAGTTCATTGCACTCAAATCTAAAGTATATTGTTTCCGAACTGATGAAACAGTTAAAAAAACAGCAAAAGGTGTGCAAAAAGTGGTACTTAAGAAGATGGTTACATTCAATGACTACAAATCAGCCTTGATCTCACACGAACTACTTTATCAGAATATGCGTTCTATTCGAAGCTTACGTCATATAATAAGCACAATCCAGACAAGGAAGCTAGCTTTGAACCCATTTGATGATAAGCGCTATTTATTGAAAATGGAATTGATACACTACCGTTTGGACATTATTTAACTCAAAATCATTCATGTGAGAAAGATCAAATAGATAAATAAACCAGTTTTGTCTTTATGTTTCATATAAGAACGAATCACTCAAAGTTAACCGACATTCGTTTCAACAAGTGTTAAGTGTTAACATCTCAATTCAACTATTTATATTTATATAATATTTAATGTTTTTTAATTCACTTGATTGTCCTAAAGTTTGTAATATTGTAACATTGTGGGATTTGAATAAAAAAGTTTCAATCGTTGGTAAATCAGGAAAAAAGAAAAAGTTCAACGCTGATATTTATAGATCTGGAAGAAGTAGACTTTTGGTTTTCGGATCCGGAAAATTCATTGCAACTGGTTTCAAAACTGAAAAAGAAACAAGTGAGTTTGTCAATAAGACTTTTCCAGAAGCTGTTCTATTGAAGATAGTTAATATTACTGCAAGTAAAAAATTCGCTATTCCAATAAGCTCGAAAAAAATCTTTGAAAGTAATTTGGATGTTGTATATGAACCTGAACTATTTCCGGCATTGAATTGGAAAGAGGACGGGGTTTCCTTTATTTATTACCCTAAAGGATCATTAATACTAACTGGGGCGAAATCTTTGGAACAGTTGGATCGAGCTTATTCATTATTTCACAAAAGATTTTATCAAATTCACAATGATGAATAACATTTGTGCCTTTTTAGACGTTCAAGGGTATTACTGCAATAATAAATTTTACCCACGTGAGATAGCTGTACTTGCCGACGACACTTTGATTTGTTTAAATGTATATACAGGGTTACAATTAAAAACTTTGAATGAATCTGAGAGGAAGCAAGCCTCTTATAATTTTAAATTTACTCATGGTTTGAAATTTGAAACAGATGAAACACATATGCATATAAATCAAGTATCAACATTTTTAAAGCTATTTTATAAGGCTAGAGTTGATTGTGATAAGTTTTTAATCGCTTGCAAATCAAGAGAAGCTGAAGATGTACTAAGAGATGCCATGATCCCTAGAATAAACCTTAATAATATTGGTGCAACCTGGTCTATAATTAAACGAGAATCACAAGCTTGTCCTCTTCATTATGGTGATAAAATGAAATGCTCATTAAATATTGTAATGTGGCTAAAATCTTGGGTTGAAACTCAAAAAATATATAAAAATATTGACTAATTCAGAAAAAAAATGTATAAGAACTTATTAATAATAAATTTACAATGAATTATATACTTATTAATAATGGAAGGTTATCAAATTTATTTAAAGCATCCCTTTACAATGGTAATAGCTGGTCCAACAAGTTCTGGAAAAACTTTTTGGTTAAAAAAATTAATCGAGGGAGCATCAAAATTCTCATACCCAGAACCTAAAACGATTACTTACTTCTATAGTGAATATCAAGAATTATTTAATACACTACCTTCTGTTAAATTCATTCATGGGTTTTCAGAAACTTTATTGAATAAATTCGATGGTAGTAGTCCTCAATGGATTATCATTGATGATCTTATGCATGAATCAGTTAATAGTAAGGTAATATCAGAGCTCTTTACAAAAGGTAGTCATCATAAAAATCTATCGATTATATTAGTAATGCAAAACTTTTTTATAAAAGGAAGTGAAATTCGTAATATTACACTGAATGCTAACTATATCGTTTTATTCAAAAATCCAAGAAATAAATCTATTGCTACAAGTATTGGTCGTCAAATTTATCCAGGAAGCATACGAAAATTTCAGGCTGTGTTTGAAGATGCAACTAGAGAACCATTTACATACTTATTTTTGGATATGAAAAATGATACACATGAAGAAGTAAGACTACTAACAAATGTTTTGGAAGAAAAAGAGTATATAACTGTGTATCAAATTTAGTTTATATAAGATTTAAATACAATTTTTGATTATCTAACATAAAATCCGGTGTAATTTTATCTTTAAATTATGGCTGTTTCTGATGCAATAGAAATGTACCCGTACTTGAAAAAACTCTGTAAGAAACATTCAAAAAGTAAACGAGGAAAAATAATTGAAGGATGTCCGAGAAAAGTTTATAAAACAATAAATGAAATTTCCAGAAATGTACTTACAGGTAATATAAGACTTAATAAAAAACAGATGAAAAAATCAAACCACATAAAACCATTGTGAGGAAATTAGCTAAAAATAGTTCTCTCAAAAATACGAAAAGAATTTTACTACAACACGGTGGTGCTTTACCCGCATTACTTTTACCAGCGATTTCATTACTAGCTAGTGTAGTTACGGAAAAGTTCATAAAATGAATGCATTCACTAAGATGGTTTTAATATCTGAAGATGAATATAAAAATAAATGTCAAGTATTAGATACAAGCATTATGAAAAAAATTATGTCTATGAATATGGATAATGCAACTAAAGTAAAGATAGCTAATAATGCGTTATTAAAACATATATTAAAAAGTCAAAAGGAGCAGAATAATACATTGATAAATGAAAAACCTAATATACCATTAGAAAAAGAGCGTTCAACATCTAACTGGTCTGAAATCTCTGATGATCAGAAATTTGAAAGTATCCTGAATGATTCATTTGAACCTGAAACACAAACACTTACGAACAAGCCGAGTCATAGTGACAATTTTTCTTCAACACCAATTCCATCTTCTACTGTTTCAACTTCAGAATCAACGCAAAAGTCTAGAGCTTATGATTTAGAAAAAGCATTACGTGAAATTCCTTCATTAGTGACAATAGATGGAAAAGTTTTAAGAGCTAATGGAAGTGAGTATCATAATAGTAATATAAAAAGAATTGTCAATTTTTTATGTTTGTTTAAGACTACACAAGCTAAGAAAATGGCTACACCAATAGGCACGGAGCGTGTTATACAAGAAATTGAGAAACTACCTTATCTTTTTGATCAAGTTAATAATTCACCTGCTTTAAGACGATTTGGTGATAAAGGAAAATCATATGAAACATGGAAGAAGCTTTCAGAGATGAATACTTCTCTATCGAAAGACTGGGAGCTTTAGGAGGTGTATATCGATTATATAGAGCTCTTAAGAAAAAATACCCAAGTGTTTCATATTTAAAAGTTAAAAGCTGGTTAGAAAAACAGAATACATATAATTTATTTAAACAAGTAAAGAAAAAATTTTTAAGGTTACCAATTATCGTGACGTCAATAGATGAACAATGGCAAGCTGATTTGATGGATGTTTCATGGCTTCAAAAATCAAATAACGGTTGTAAATATTTATTAAATGTAATCGACTGTTTGAGTCGCTATGCTTGGTCTGTCCCCTTAAAATCAAAAACCAGTGATGATGTTATAAACGGTTTCAAAAAGATTTTTTCAATGGGAAGGGTACCTACTAAAATACAGACTGATCAAGGCGCTGAATTTAAAAATAGAAATGTTCAACAGTTTTTTAAGCAGAAGAATATTTTTCATTTTACAACAACAGATGATTTAATCAAATGTGCAATAGTTGAACGATTCAATAGAACATTACGAACAAGGTTATATAGATATTTATTTTATAGCAATACACACAAGTATTATGACATCCTTCAAAGTTTGATTAAAAGTTATAACGAGTCTTATCATCGAACTATACAAATGGCTCCATCTTCTGTAACAGAAGAAACTCGTTCTCAGGCAATAATTAATATAAGAAAAACTCATAAAGTAGCTCAAAGCTTACAAAAACCATACACCATCGGAGAAAAAGTGCGTATAAGTAGACGTAAAAAACATTTTGAAAAAGGTGCGACAAATAATTTCAGCGAAGAAATTTTTGAAATTTATAAAGTTAAGAAAACCGATCAAGGATATATTTACCGTTTGAAAGACACTGCTGGTGAATTTATAACATCTTTATTCTATCATTACGAGCTCTGTCCCGCAATTCTAGGCGATCTCTTCAACGTTGAGGTTCTTAAAACACGCATAAATAAAAAAACAAAAAAGAAAGAGTTTTTTGTTAAGTGGATAGGATATCCTGATAAATTCAATAGTTGGGTAGAAAATGTGGAATCAACCTGATGAATATTTTATAGAAGTTGTTTCAAACTCTTCGATGGAACACTTCCCTGAAAATACTTTAGCTAAATTTTCCAATAAATTGCCTCATCCTATTATGTTAGATGGAGAATGGGTAGTGGGTATACAAGAAATCTTTTATCCAGTTGATGTTAAGCCGTCTAAACGTAAACTAACAATTCAACTTCTTACCCATGGTTTAAATGATAAGTTGTCTAAAGAAGTTGAACTTGATTCTAACGATGATTTGAATACTATTATTTCTAACATAAATAAGGCTTTTATGAATCTATTTTTATCTGTTGTTGATCAAGGTGAAGGCAATGAAAACAAGGTTAAAAGATCAACTAATGATCAGACCATCAGTCCTGACTTATCAGATCTAACTCTAGAAAAAATTAATCAATTACCTCAAGAAGATCGTGAAAGATTATTACAGAGAGTAAAAAACACTACTCAGACTATTCTTGAAAATTTGAAACAAGAAATGTATAAGTATAAAACAGAATCGACTGATAAACAAGATAAGATAAATAAGTTAGATTCTTCATTGCGACAATATGTAGATGAATTAGATAATCTGAAAAAAGAAATCAAGAAAAAGCAGATGAAAGATAAAGATCTAATCAAGGATGCAAAACAGAATAAACAAATAATAGAAGAAAAAAATATGCATATCAAAAAACTAGAAGAACAAGTTACTGACATTCATAAGAAAAACGAAGAGAATAAAAACATGTTAAAAGCAGTTAAAGTGGAAAATCAACAGTTAGATGCTAAGATAAATGAGAAAAGTAAAGAACTATACAAACTCAATGAAGAATACAGAGCAAGTAATAAATTGCTATCTGAAAAATTAGAAAAACTATTATTAGAAAAGTCGTCTATACAAAAAGATTTAGAAGGAAAAGTCAAAAATAATTACGAATCAAGTGACATTCTCAATTCAAAAATAAATAATTTAAATGAACAAATAGTTAAACTAACAGAAGAGAAACAGAAAACTGAATCAGCTTACAAAAGTCAGAAAAGTGAAACAAACACACAAATCAGTGAACTCACTATGAAATATAATACATGTAAGCAAAATGAAAATAGTCTAGAGTCCTCACTAAAAATCAAAGAAGAAAATGGACTAAATCAAATTCATAAGTCACAACAAGAAATAAATATCCTCAAAAGTGAAAAAACGCAGCTCAAAAATCAAATTCAGACAATGAATTATGAACAAGAGGCTCTTAAAATTGAAATTCAGAGGTTACAAGGAAGAGAACTAGATTTTTTATCTCAAATACAAAATCAAAAAGAGAGGAGTGCCCGTTTACAACAAGAAACTGAAAAGTCACTTAAAGAGCTTGAAGTAGAAAGACAAAAACTACAAAATCAAGAAAATCTACTATTGAAAAGACTTTCTGAACTTGGAATAATGATTAAAGATAAGAAAGGCGAACCTAAGATTGGAATAGACACAAAAATGACAGTTCCTGGATTAACTCATCATAATGGCAAAATTATTGTATTTCCGGGCCGTCACAAAGAACATATTTTCACACCATACTTTTCTGATGTTAATTTCATTTCAGCATTAGGATTTGATGCAAATAGCTATTTAACCATGATTGAAGCCTTCAATGGAGGACAAAAGGCTTTTACTTCACCAAAAAATTGCAATTTGAATTTTAGATCACATTTAATGTTTATTCATTCAGATATAGTTGATGAACATTTTGTTGGAAATAAATCTGCTAGAGTAATGAGAGTTGTTCCTATAAAATATGGTATACAATCTGAAATGGTTCATGAAAAGTTTTGAAACCTTTTACTATCAGTACGATCAAACAGAATTGAAGATATAAATTTCATTCTTTCTGATGAAATGGGTGAACTTGTTAAATTTAACTCTGGAAGAGTATTAGTAGGTTACATATAAAACGTAATTAATTGTATAAGAAAATTAAGATGAATTATAACATTTGATATTTAATTAAATAAAAATGCTTCGCAAGGTCTATTGTGCTTGTGACTCAGATTTTCGAAACTATTATCATTCTCAAACTGGAAATGGTTTTTCAGACATATCGGTTTTTCACGGTAGTCCTTACCAAAGAGGTTATGGTTTTGGGAGTTTATTCAAGAGATTTGGTATTCCCGTTTTAAAGTTTTTAGGGAAACATGTATTGAAAACTGGAGTTGACATCGGTCAAGATGTTTTGAATAAGAAAAACATTAAAGATGCATTTAAAGAAAGAGCTAAAGTGGGTATAAAAGAGGTTGCTGGTGATTCTTTGAATAAACTTTCGAATTATTTTGAGCAGCAAGGAAAAGGGTTAAAACGTAAACAATATAAGAAAACAGTTAAGAAGGCTAGAATAAAAAAAGATATTTTCTCTTCATAATGGAATATTTACATCCCTCATCTGTTCCAGCTAACAAAAGTGAACTAGATATTTTCAATGTACCCCCCACACAGGTCGCTATCGACTCTGTTTACGAAACTGACTATAGACCTTCTGCAAGTTTAGAGTCTTCTCGAACATATGAGTTAGTGATTCCAGCATCAGAAGACTTTACAGATCTTAGTGCTACAATGTTACATATGAATATAAATATACTGACAGAGAAAGACAAAGTTGTAAATACTAAGAATTTAATAAAGTTAGTATCGAATTTCAGTAATGCATTGTTCGAACAGATTGATCTATATCTAGGATCAACAAACACTTCACTAGCTAATAATATGTACCATTATCAAGCCTTTCTAGAAGACTTACTCTATAGATACCCTACTAACATTGATGAGTCATTTTTAAAAGATGAAACTGACGTTGTTGAAGATACAACATATGAACTTTATTATAGATTACATCTACCTATTTGTTTACAAGATAAACTTTTAATAAATGGGGTTCCTTTAGTTTTCAGATTTACTCGAAGTACAGCCTCATTTCCTCTTTTAAAATCACAAGAGGGTGATAAGGCTAGTTATTCAATAAAAATATCAAATTTTTCTTTACATTTAAAGCGTGTCAAACTATTTCCTGATACAGCTTCAATAATTCAAACTCTCGAAACGCATCCCTAAATACTTCATTACAAGAGCGGACACAAAAGCTTCACTATTCCATTAGGCGTTTCAACTATGACAATTGAAAACTTATTCGTTGGTCAATTACCTAAAAATTGTTATAGGATTTGTAAAGAAGAAGCACTCAATGGTGATATTAACTTTGATCCATTCAAATTCGAAAATTTTAATATAAATCATATTTGTTTGAACATTGATGGAATAATGTACCAGTATTCCTTATAAACCAGATTTCGCGAAAGGTAACTGTATGAGAGAATATCTAAGTCTTTTTAAAGCTCTCAATCAAGATGAAGGAATTCCACAAATAGAGATAACTTATGATCAATATAAGAAGGGAAAGGTGCTATTTGCGTTTGATATAGGAGGTCCTCTGGGTGCAGAAGTTGGTGTTTATCACTTATCAAACGAGGAAAAGTACGACTTGAGATGCGGTTTAGTAAAGCCTTCGTCTCAATTAAAGCTATTGTATTTGGTCAGTTTGACAATCTCATCACTATAGATAAAGATAGACAGGTTACAATTGATTATTGAAATGTTGAGTAATTTTGAAATATCTTCTATACTCAAAAACATTAAATGGTTTGGTGGAGTCTTTCCGAATGATCGATTACCGACTACATTTAAAAAACCTAAAAGTTTCATTATAAATTTAGATCCTAGTTATAAACCAGGAACACATTGGACAGCAGTTCACTTTACTAAATATGGAACAGGACTATTTTTTGATTCTTTTGGTAGACAAGCAGAAGGAAATATTTTATCTTTTTTAGAAAGAAATGCTACAAAAGGTTCACATTCAACAGAAAATATCAAGGTAATCAATCAATGGCCTCTATTTCTGTATCCTATTTATTTTGTTAGCTCATCATCCATATCTTTTTTAAAACTATTTAAAAATGTAAGTTTTATTCAATGAACGTCGATTGAAATATTTATTAAAAAGTATTTGCATTAAATTTTTTTAAAATAATGACTGCCTTCGGATCAATTTCAGCCTTGGCTGAAATTGAGCCGAAAACAGATTTCTCTACTGAGGTGAAGGAGTGGAAGTAAAGATTTGTGGATGATGATGATTGATCAATCATGATGATCATCATTGATGATAACTTAGTGACTTACGGTATAATTATCTTTCTATTTCATTGAAAATCTATCGTTGAAACTGAAACTGAATTCGTAATCTTTTTTTTCAGGTTCATCGGTGTTTCCATTGGCTTAAGTAACAATTTTTTTCTTCTGTTTGTTGATATTTTTTTTTCTTCTTGTTCTCTCATCATTATCATCCTCATCTTTTATTATTTTTTTTATCATTTGCTTCATTCCATTGATATAACAATCAGATAATCAGCTTACATCAGTTAACAACCATGATATTGATTTGATCTGAGGATGATTTTGATCTGTATGATCAGTGATGGTTAAGGTAAGAGACAAAAGAAAGAGTCAAATGGTTGAAAATTTGAGTGAGAGATGAGAGAGAGATGATAAACTTTACTTAAATCCTTATCATCAATCATCTTCTCATCTTTTATCCCTCTCACATCACTAGGATGCTCATTTTCATCCGCATCATTTTCATCATCATTACTCATAAATATGATAAAAGAAGTAAAAAAAAAACTTCCATCCTCATAGTTCACAGTATGAAGTCAATAATCAAATGAAATTATGAAGAAGATGATGATGATGATGAAAGAAGATGAAGAAAAACAAAAATTGATCATCTTATAAGAGCTAATTTGATTAAAATTAATTATCCACAAGTTAATCAATTGACTGGATTAACCAATAGAATCATGTTCAATCATAAATCGTCCTATTCATTGGGGTTTTCAGTTTTCATGATAAATATTTCCAATCAAAATGTGAATACAATTCAAATCTCCGGGTTAGCATTTCAATCAAATCAAATTCAATTTCATTCTGAGTTTTTTTTACAAAAAAAATCAGAGATTCAAATGATTTGAATGAAGTAAAAAATCAAAACACAACGAAACAAAAGTATCACCACAATATCAGATTCTAGAACTGAACTTGAATGAACTTTTACCTTTTACTTTTGATTTTTATATTGAATTTTTCCAATGACAATTTTTCCCCTGGAAACTCATGATAATCATTTGGAAATGAAAAGTTCAGTGTGTATATATGAAATTACTATGCAAACACACACACACACACACACACACATACACATGACAACTTAAGGAGATTATCATGGAAACAAGAACAACAAAATCTGAGATTTCAAGATGAAATTCATATGATAAACTAATGGAGATGATGGTGATTCTCATCTTGAAAGTTAGCATCCTCATCTTTATTGTCATCATCAATGATGATCATCCATCAGGTATCATTATTATTATCATTGTGATACTATTATTAACTATGTAACTTGATCATTGTAACAGTAAACTGTTAAAATTTATCATCAACTGAATAAATTTTCATCAACTTTCATCAAATCATCATTTCCCATCATCTTCATCTTCATCATCATCATAATGAAGGCAACATGATTATATGCTTATCTCCTCTTACTGATTATCATCATCATCAGTTGATATAATTTATACAGATTTGAGTAAATTACCTTTTAGCATTTACTTCATTATCATCATCTTGATCCGCATCATCTTTTATCATCCACCATGATAGGTGCTGATGATTGATCACCTGATCATGTTGATATTTAATTCACAATTCAAACTGTGTAAACTTGACACTCAGTGATTAATATGAAATCAGTAACTTTCCCAAATCCAATTTGATTAGCACTTTTTTTTATCATATGAGAAGGAAAAAAAACTTTTGATTGTTTTGTTGATTGTTAAACTAATTCAGATTGAGAAAATGAGTTGAGACATTAAAGTTAATTAGATTAGATTAATCAGTCAATCAATGTTATGGTTAATGATAGTGTGTAATTGTAATCAACATTTGTTGACACTGATTAACAAATGATGATCATCAAGAAAAGTTTTTATTGATTTTATAATAATCTTTCATTAGTTTGTCATTGTTTTGTTACTACTGTTAATCAACAACAACAATTAACTTTAATGGACCAATTTAATAAATGTACAGTTATGATTGAGATTGAAATTAATAATAATCATTGAACTGATCCATTGATGATTAACTAATCATCGTAATGATAAATCAATGAAGAGCCAGATATTAGTTGTAAGGATAAAAAAAAAGGTTCCAGTTGAGATTAAGGTTAAACTATCAAACTAATAAGATGTTGACCAATAGGATGACCATTATCATCATCATCATGAAGATCAAGTAGATGATCAAGAAAATTTAGAGATTTATCTTGATTAATATATACAAAGATGTCTGGTCAACCAAGAATGAACCAGAATTGATTGTCCAGTCTCTTACCAATGATATTATAATTTATCTCAAGAGTGTGAGAGGGAAAAAGTTGATATTATTTATTATTATCGTAAACAGAATCATTATGTTTCAAGATTAGTCTCCATGTTATTTCATGATAATACTCAGAAATGATGGTCATCATCGTGAAGAAAACAGAATAGGTAACTTGCCATGAGAAAAACACTTACAACTCATTAATAAGTATCACTGTCAAACTGGATGATATTATCTCATAGATTACTAGTGAATCTTAATATATAAAAATACATAGTATTGCTTATTGCTCATCATCATCATCATCTTGAGGACAAAATTATCCTCTTTCTTTAGTCTCT